TATAGACAATTTGTTTTTTAATAAATTCGAATAAAGATGCGAATTTAAACAGTATCGCGAAACAGTATAAGTTATATGTGCAGTCGCTTATAAATCATATACATTATATACATACAGAAATGGTAAGTAGCGCGTTATTTGTAACACCATTACTTTTCTCATTATTACTTTGTTATAATAACGATTTGATAATAGCGAATCTGTTTACTTTAATGGTAACATCCAGAGTTGGAAAGTCATTCGATCGTTACTTGTATACCGAATGACTTCCAACATTACAAATAACAATCGACTAGGTAATGGAAAATTACTTTGTACAAGTAACAAATTACAGTTACTCGTTATCGAATAGAAAAAGTAACAAATTACTGTTACTGTAGTTACTGATTTCTAAAAGTAATTCGTTACAGTTACCATGGATCTACAATAGATTTTAAGCTTCATAAGCCATAAGAAATGGACGAATTACAATCACTTATTCTGGCATTCGATTGTAATTGGTTAATTCCTTATGACTTAAAACACCTATTATAGATCCAGCTTTATGATTACTTGAGAAAGTTAACTTTTCGTTACTTTTTTTAAAAGATGAATAAGCACCAATTACAACGGACAGATGCCTAGGGGCTTTTTAGTCTCAAATGCTATGAGTAATTTGTGTCCAATCGACCATATCCAATTATGTGCAAAGTAACGATAAAAATAATTATAAAATTCCAAACCCGTTACCAAAAAAAATGTATCTACGTTATCGTTATCAAAAAAATGTAACTACGTTACTATTACAGTTACAAAAAAAAAGTAATAAGTAATGTAGTTACCAGTAAAATTAACAAAAAAGTAACTTATAATTGTAACACTAACAGTAATTTATAACTGTTACAAGTAACGAGTTACTTTTCTTCTCTGCGAGCAAGTGAGTTTACAATATGACCTGATGTTACAGTCATAATTTGCCATTACCAAATCGTTATTATAACAAAGTAACGATAAGAAAATTAACAGTGTTACAAGTAACGCGCGTTATCTATCAACCCTGATATTATGCCCAGATAGTACAAAATACTAAAGATTACGAAAAGAAGTCTTTTGTAAGTTGTTTTTCGACAAAGCGAAAGATGTCTAACGGTAACGAAAAGACATCGCTTTTAGATTATCTTTTCAGCAAGACGAAAAGATGTCTATAAGACATCTTTTAGTTTTGTCGAAAAGACAACTTAAAAAAGATATTTTTCGTCATTTTTCTATGGCTGTCATTTTTACAAAGCAAAAAGTCGACTAAAAGATGTCATTTCATTGTTGAAAAGACGAAAAAGACGTCTTTGTTATTTTGGTATTTTATCTTTCATTCGCGAGTACACGGGATCGCCACCAGACAGACGTATCGAGTTCAGTTTCTCGTTTAAAAATTATACAGAATAGAATGAAAGGTGCAGCATTGTAAGAAATTTTTCTCGTATTCTAATGAACGCTAATAAAATATTTTTTGTAATTGAGTCTTTAGAGGAGATTATGATGAAAGGCACAAAACATGGACTGCAAACCTTGCAGGATTCAGAAATGTATTATATATTATCAATCATGCAAGTTCATTTCATTTTATAAAAATTAATTTAGGAATTCGATATTATTAAATGTTATATGTGCTAAAATATAACATTTAATAAAAACTGAAAGAAATCGTAAACAGCTAAAACTATCTAAAGAAGTCATCCTTTAGTTATCAAATGAATAAAGTTATAAGATGACTAGCAATGCGATATCTGTTCATCTTTTAATCATCTTCTCGTCAACTATATTCTTTCACTAAAAGATATCTTTATAACAATTTATCTTTTAGACAACTTTGTGCTCTCTGGTGTATTATAATAAGTCACTCGATTAAAATGCTTACAAGCTATCATTTGAAATAACTTACGTGGTATAAATAAGGTTGAATAGTTAAAGTTAAAGGGTTAAAAGTTAAGTTAAAAAGTTAATTAATTTTTAATTTAACTTAGTTACATTTTAGACTCTTAATTTTTAATTTAATTTAATTATCACTTTATTGATAACTATTATAGTATTAACTTTCTATTTGACTTTTTTTGAAATTTTAACCCTCAATGCGAGGAGATAATGAGAGTATATAATTTAATAATTTTATATCCGCAGAGAGCAAAGTCGTTTAAAAAATGATTAAAAGATGACAAATAACAATAAATTATTATAAAGATAGCTTTTAGTAAATATGTTATATATAATATATTACAAAGAATATAGTCGATGAAAAAATGATTAAAAAACGACGCATTGCTAGTCATCTTATAATTTTATCCATATAATAAATCTTATCCATGACCTAACTTTTTTGGACATCTTTTAGTCATCTCTTTAAAATTTTTTTTAAAGTTTTATATTTTTTATATTTGGGCAAATATAACATTTAATAATATCGAATTTCTAAATTAATTTTTACACAAAACAATGAAATTGCATGATTGATGATATACATCCCATTTCCTGCAATGCTCGCCATGTCCTATATGGCAAGAGCCATAACTAAGCTAAAGTGATGAAGATAAATTTCTTAGTAAAAAAAAATAATTTGTTACCGGCTGTTATATCTATCTATTTTCACCACAAAATACATATCATATCATTTGAGTGAGCCTAAGGGAATGCTATGCTCGTATTAACCTGTTGAATTTTGAACTAAAATGTCATGATTTATTATCGACCAAAAAATGAAGTATACAATAAAATCATGACATTTTAGTTTACCGGTAACAAATCATTTTTTTTCACTAAGAAGTTTACCACTTTAGTTTAATTTGGCGGCTTCTTTGATCTACAGAAACTATACAGCATCTACTTTTCAATTTTTTTGACGTAAACTATCACTAAAAGTAAATGCTAGCAAGTAACATATTAGGAAAAAAAACAAAAAATTTTTATTTTTACAATTTCAATCACACGTCATCAATTTTAAAACCGCGGGAGATCTGCCACATGTTTTCTTCATGTTTACCTAATAAATGATGAATTAAAGACGATTTCAAATGGTAACAAATGGAGACCATTTTTGTGTCATTATCTTCCGGACTATCCCCTTTGGAAGCAAATTGAGCTCATGCATACTGCTCATGAATGAATGAAAACTAAAAAGTATCAAAATAATAGAAAGATATCTTTTTCATGTTGTCGACAATACGAAGAGATATCTTTTAAACGACTTTTTGCTTTGTGAAAATGCAACTATAGAAAGATGATCTTTTTTGTAGTAAATTAAATTTTTAAGGTTAACTTTAACATAACTTAGTTTTAAAAAAGATACCTATAAAACATCTTTTCGTCTTGCTGAAAAGACTATCTAAAAACGATATCTTTTCGCCATCTTTTTAGATATCTTTCCGCTTTGTCGGGAAAACAACTTAAAAAAAGAACGAAAAAGATTTTTTTCATTTTCATTATATATTTTAGTATTTTGTGCTGTCTGAGATCTTTTGTATTGTATAATCATTAGTTGTTAACAAAAAAACCAGCGATTTTATTCAAAAAATTATGTAAAACGGTAAAAATTTTCTTTTTTACTTTTTTTGGTTGTTCGTTCAGATCAAATTCAATTTTTAACTTTTCAATTACTTTTTTTTATTAACTTAATTTCTAATTCAATTAATTTTATTAGGATTAACTTATCTTAACTAAATTAAATTTTTAAGATTAATTTTAACGTAACTTAGTTTTAAAAAAGTTTTTAAAAAAAATTAACTTACCCGACTGGGTATAAATGTTAAATATTTTATGGTTTGTATTATATTTTTACATATAATTTTATATATTGCAGCGCAATATATTGTAATTGCATTGTACTGTGCATTAATCAAATAATGTTTAGAAGAAAAAATATAAGCCGTTCTTATTTATCTGTTTAAATGTGCAGTGTATTATGGAAACAAAATTGCTTGAAATGAAAAGTTTTAAATATTTCAAAACATTTCACAAGTATTTATTTTTTTATATAAAAGCAATGGTGTAAAATAACAAAAAATCAAAATTTTTATAATAAATACATTTATCATAACTGAATTTATACTCTTATATTATTCTTTACATCAAGCACCGATGATTTAATTGAAATTATATTCTTTAAACATTATTTTTATTAAAAAATGTACAGCAATTACAAGATTGACAGTTAATCGAGAAAAAAACCTTCTCTAAAAATGTAATTTTCAACATTCAAATTGTTATTTTATTTTCAAAATGACATGTTTAAAAATATATATATTTTATTTAAAATATATATTTAATATTATAATATTAAATATGTATTAAAAATATGTTATATTTGACATCCTCGCGCTGCGAATATTAAAAATATATTTTTGTTTCTAAGGAAATCATATCGGTTCCGAATATATCTTCGTTATAAAATCAAAAACAAGATGAATTCGAAAAAAATAACATAAATCTTCGCGTAAATCATATTTTCGATTTAACTTTTGACTACTAATACGGCTCTAAAAGAGTAATCGCTGAATTGATACTGAGTTTCGTTATTTGATATGAAAGAATCGTATTCAGTGTTTTCAATTTATATGTTTCATTTGCGTAATGATCACACCGAACTTCGAAGCAGATTTGTTTTTAACTTTTTTCAACATTAAGTTATTCAATCTATCATCTGATTCTGAGTTTCACAATAGTTATTACACGTAAAATCGCGTTCAATATAATAAATATAATATATCAAGGAACAGAAATTTTGTACGTATCTAAATAGATGCGAAATTTAGCCTGCAACAAAATCTGAGTAGTTGAAGTGTGTATGAAGGATGCTGAATAAGCACATTCATCAAATTAAGTACATTGGAAAAAATGCTGAATTTTAATAAATATTTGTTTCAATAGTACTAACGAAATATTTACTTATAATAAATAAATATTTATTCAAAATAAAAAATTATACCTAAACCTCAAATAAATATATATTTACATTTAATTAATATTTCGTTTGTATTATTGAAACATTTGTTAAAATTTAGTAAATTTTTTTTTTATGAATTCTTCCGAAATGCGCACGTTTTAGAGAGCTAATTAGCTAAGTGTGTAGCACGTTTCATTTAATTGGAAAATATCGATATTTTCAGATTAAAAATGATTTTTTTCATTCAATATACGTTCTTCGTTTCCTAGTTAGATAAAACACGATCGTCTATGTGAGCATCTCCAAAGGATTTGCCTGAAAATTAGGGCCATGGCACACAAAAAAACTTAAATAAACAATAAACGATAGACCAATCACAGAAGAGTTCGTAAGGCCATAACGTAAGCAGTAATTAATCCAACATTGATTTCCTTATTGCTTACGTCTTACTGCTTTAAATTTTTGTGTGCCATGGCCTTAATGGTCGTTGTGATTTTTACGGCCATAAATGTATAACTGAAAGTCACTATGGATAAAATGTAGTACAATGCGATAATAGCATATAAGGACATATCCTTAGGAATATGTGAGGGATCAATAAAGGTACGATGATCGAGAGAATCGATATGCGACTTGCCTTCAATGTTCAAAGTCGTTGCGAAGACGTCGCATGAATAGTATATCTAGCAAATATAAAGTTAGCACAATTAATACGTCTAAGAAAGTCTACTATTTCATATTTCGTAAGTTTAAGGCAAGAGTAGATTTCGAAGTCGAAAAATATGTATACGATGTTTCCGAAGAAAGGTGCATCGAATGTTGTCAAAGCGAAAATCGGAGATTAACTTCGATAGTTAAATTTTTAGAGGATTATAATCGCATATCATACCAATTGTTAAATAAAAAAATTTTATTTTATCATTCTTAAATTTATTAAATATAAAGTTTCAACCAAGAGAGACATGTAATATCTACGAAGTTGAGCAATCCTCATCTCTTCATTTCTTAGTAAAAGCTAATTCCGAATGCTTTCAAAATTAGAATTCTTTATCATGTACCTATTCTCCCGAAACATTTCGTGTATGAATAAAATAAAAACATGTAATATTTTTATGCCTTCAAGAACGGATCCTATAGGTAAGAAAGCGATCAATGTGTTTAAACTAATTTAAGAACATCACATCGATATCGCGACAATAAAATGTACGCTCGATAATACACCTGCGAAAGATGTAAAATGTATATCCCACTTCGCAAAATAATAACGACATAATGAACACCAACAAAACAAAAATGTTAATCTTAATGAAACTTCATCAATTTTATGACAATGACTTTTTATGAAATATCGATGAAGGCTCAGCGAAACAATCAATTAACAATCTTATTGTACTTTAAGGCACACGAATTTCATGGAATAATTTTAAATCTGAAAATAATTATAAATAATCTAATTTAATTAAAAAATTAACCAAACAAAATATTTCAATTCTCATTATAACACAACATAAATTTTTAAAAATTTATAAAAAAGATACGAATTATGAACATAAAAACGAGCTTAATGAAATATTTATTTTATTTCACATTCTTTACTATGCCCTGACTTGTCTTGCTAGTTCCCTGTTCGATCTGTTTTTGTATATTATTATTATATTATTGTCAGTGTTATTTGTCATTCTTATATTATATGATAGTATAATTATATAAATCAATGTAATTTATATATTGCATATTTTCATACTTGTATAAAAATTTATTTTTATGCTGACTTTGTGGAAGTATATTGTACATCATGGGTGCTCAATGTCCGGCTCGCACTTACAATCGTATTCCAACATATATAATCGTATTTCAAAAAAAATTCGACGTGAGTAAAGCGCGCGCAGCGGAAAAACCCGCGGGCAATAGTCAAAATTTGAAATAGCCCTTCGGTCTAACTAATTGGGCACCCATATTGTATACCATGACCATTGTTAAAGATTTTGTTAGTGAAAGCTTGTAGCGATTGCTGTTATAGTCATCATTGTTGTTATTATTATGAAAACGAAAGGTAGGGAGGCCTTTTTTCTGGGGAACAATTACATAATATTTTGTTCTAGAAATGGAACATTTAGTTATTATGTTTACGAAATAAAGAATTCAAAGAATTACATTTCTTTTCCAGTTTTGTGTCCGTTCATTTCGCACAAATCAAGTAGTTACATTTTGATTTTTTCATAATGTGAAAACAATGAAATACGTAATTGGAAAACTAATTAGAAATATAGTATAATGTATAATCATAATTAAAAATTATTATGACAAATATACAATTGCATAACTAAATATATATAATAATTATTATATACACATAATTATATTTCTATATTTTTTTATGTATAGCAGGTATATAAATACCTAAACGCATTTAAATAAGAGGTAATTTCTGTATAAACTGTCGGAACCACATGTAACTCGTGCAGGCAGACAACGAGTACCAAGTGATTATATAACTCAAATGTTCATTCCTTAAAGTTACTTTCGTTTGGCCTCCGATTGGACCTTGAGGTATATTATACTCGGCCAATAATTCTATATATACAGGTTCTGCTTCTGCTATCTTTGCCATTGCATTTAAATCTCTAGAACATACTTATTTAAATTTTTATGTGATAGAAAACATCGTTCTTCACAGTATTAAATATTTTTTTTAGTTTGATTACTATAGAAATGACTAATAGAATAAGTAAACTATGTGCCTTTACCTGTAATGCCATACACCTTTCGCAGGTGTATTATTGAACACAAATGGAGGTCGCTTTTCAGTTATTCTAATAATACCAGTAATTTCTACGGGGTCTATAATCTTATTTCCCATTTTATATATTGAGTGATCACATCTAGGAATCCATCCACGATTTACCATAATAATCAAGCTAAACTCAAGAAATAATATCAAATTCATTTTATACTGAATTAGAAAATGTAAAAGTATTGAGTTTGTTTGTTGTTTTAGTTTGTTCATAATTTTTTTTTAATCAACAATTAATAAAAGCATAATTACTCTCGATCCTCCAATTTGAAAGGCGTAATCACATAATATCCCGAACTTGTTTTGCGAGAAAATATTCCACCATCTTTTTCATTAACAACTTCTCCATTAATAATTAGGCTTCTAGGTCCTATCAAAAATTCTTTTTCATATAAAAATTTGCCCTTCACTTTCATACGATAATATTCTTTATCTTTTAATTCGTTTAGGCTAAAAAGAAATGGTTTTATCAAACGTTTATAACAATAAATAATGCTTGCAATCTAATATTCTAAATTAGAATATTATAAATTAATTTTTTCTTTCAAAATTACTAATATCATAACCTTACTCTGATGGCAAATCGATTGGTTCTGCTGAAGTACGTTGCTTAAGCTTTTCTATTAGATCCAGCTTCCATCTCCATCTCTTAATTTGCCATGTACCAAGTGCAAATGTAACAATAGGTACTCCCTAAAATACAGAAACGTACAACATACAAAAATTAAATTTTAAAATTATTGATAAAATCTCGATTAATAGAACTGCTTAGAAAATATCGAGATCTTGTAAATATCTAAACGATATCTTTTTAAAGATATTTTCAAGATATTTCTAGAAGATATCTAGAAGTCTAAAAGATGTCTATAAAAATTTTGTTGAAAAATTTCTAAAAGATATCTATAGACGTCTTAAAGAAATCTTGAAAGATATCTTTAAAATATTTGTAATAGATATATTAAAGATATCAAAATGTCTCTCTTGAAAAATGTTTTTTAAGACATTTCTTTAAAGATATCTATTAGACTAGTATATACTAAAAACAAGTCAAAATATAATATAATAGATTTATGCATATCGGTCCTCGCAAAAATGAAGACAATATACGAAAGCTGATATTTAATTACATCCAAGATAACGAATTCGATCATTATTTCTCGTTATTAATTCATGGTGGAATTTTTTCAACCATGAGTAATTTCGTAACGAATTTTCCGTTTTCCGTTGGTGATAATTATCACAAAATATAACAGGAGAAATTGCGATTTTTATCATAGGTAATCCTTTTCATTAATATAAATTTTTCCATCGATTATTATACATAATAATAATGATACAGATATACAATAAATCTGTATATCTGTTTATTTATACAGATAATATAATATCATTTGACATACGGTTCTACACCAATGTAAACCTAGTGCCCAACTTTATTAAAAATATAAATGAATACACTGTAGCGCGTTTGTACTTTGTACCTGTTTGTACCGATCATTATTTCTTTTATACTTCAAACAGTTAAAAAATAAGTGATTTACAAAAAAATGACCAAATTTAAGGTTCTTTAATTTCATTTATATCATTCAAAAAAGAATTGTTTGTACCCGTTTGTACCTCTTTTATTCTCGTTTGTACCTCAAAGAATTCGGAGATACAACGTTTTTCAAAATTTCGGCAAGAGGGTAATTTCGGCCATTTTTGAAGTATAAACGAAAGAGGTACAAATAAAAGAGATACAAACGAGTGCAAACAATTCTTTTTCAAATGCCGTTGGTCACTTTTCGGTATCTTGTAAATTGGCTAATTTCGCAAATATAGAAATTGTGCAAAAATTGAAAAGTAGTATCTCCGAATCCTTTGAGGTAGGGAAGAGTAAAGTCCTATATTATAAGAAATGTGCAAATGGAATTCACTTGCTGATTGACTTTACCAATGAAAATTGGGAATATCGGGTTCGTAGCTGATCAATTATCAATACAAAGCAGCTGTACTAAAGATCTTGTGTAAGATTCTAGAGGTTAAAGATATTACAATAAGAACTATATTAATAATACTACATTAAGAAACATTCTTATTATTCAACATGCATTTCTCAACTGATGTTTCGCAACTTTTGTAGTCTCTTATTTAACGTTGTTTATAATGTTGGAAAATAAGAATGTTTCTTAATTAGTATTGTAGTACCTTCACCTAATATCTAGAATTTTACATAGGATCTTTAGTATAGCTGCTTTGTATTGATAATTGATCAACTGCAGTCCCGATATTCCCGATTTTGATTGGTTGCTCAATCAATCAGCAAGCGAATACTATTTGCACATCTCTTATAATATCCCAGCAAACGAAAATGGATTGAAACGGATTAAAATGGATTCAGATGTTCAGAAATATGGATTCATGAATATTAAAATAAATCCTTTTCAATCCTGAATGCATTTTTATTTATTTATACGAATTGCATAGAGCATACCTCTATGCCTTTCAATCCAAAAATGATATTAGCATTTTCTGTGCATCGTGAATACTATTCAATTCAGAATTATGAATAGAAAGTAGTTTTTTTAATTCAGTTAAATTCAAAAATAATCAGCAATTTCTATGTAACGTGTACTGCTCAATATTCTGAATATGAAATGCAGTTTTTCAATCTAATTGAATAAAAAAAACTTTTATTTAAAAATGCCATAAATGCTACTTAAATTATTTAAAATTATAAGGAAATTTTTCATTTTAATCCAACTAAGTTCAAAAAAATTATAACGTAAAAATAATTGAGCTATGTTCATTTGTTTATCTTTGATTAGAAGTAAAATGAATGATCGATGTGAACACTCACACACTAAATCGAATTAGGCTAATCACGGCGCGCTACATCGACTAAGCAAGATTAAATTATCCAACACTTACCCAATGTTGACTCATAATAATATAAATTATTTATACTTTATTATACCTGTTTTTATATCTGTTAAATGATATTTTTATTATATCTATGATTTCGTTACTAGTTTAGCTGGTTGTAATTGAACTAGAGAATGAATAACACATTTACCAATTGAAGAAGTGGTGTAGCGGATAAACGTAGTAGATTCGTAATTCAGAGGTCCCAGATTCGAATCCCACTAAGATGCATTTTTTTTAAATTAATTTGAAGTAATTAATTTTAGATATAATTATTATAAATGTCTTAGGAATAAAATTTGTAATCCTTAAAGATGAATGTTTTTTTTTTCGAATATTAAACTAGTGTCAGCTTGGATCCAATCCATTTCAATCCATTCAATCCATCATGGATTTAAAGTACACATTAAAAAATTTTTAATCCATTTTAATCTATTCTCGTTTGCTGGGATTCTAGGGGAGAGTGGGCATAAAAGAGCTAGTTTTTTCAAAATATGGAAAAAATATTTAATCTGATATTGAACAAATAAAATTATTTCGAACTTAAGTATACACATTTGTAAGATCTCTTAACAGAAAAATAATTTAATCATTAACAGAAATTTAATTACCATTTTTATATAAAAATTCTAGAAATTCAGTTCTTTCAAAACAAGGTGGTTTTGAAAGAACCGTTACCTATTTTGAAAAAGCCAGATACTAAATTATAAAAGCTTTAACACAAGTCAAATAAAAATGTCATTCTTTAATAAATATTTTTTTTTAAATTAATAAATGTTTGAAAAATAGAAAATATAAGTAATATTTCTAATTAAAAACACTCGTAAAAAAAATGAAAAAACTTATTGCCCAATGAAGTATGAGCCCAACCACAATTTGCACTAATATTAATTCTTTCGGAAAAGAACGTATACGTTTAAATGTGCAGACTGTACTTTTCGTAAATTGCTAAGTTGTGACGATAACTGAATAAAAGATTCGGATTTTTGTGTTATACGAATTAGTTCTTGAGTTACATGAGTACATGTTAATTCTACATTGTTAAATTGTTCTTCTGATTGCTGTTGGGAATCACTCTCAATTATGTCTCTGAATTATATCTAAAAAGAGCAAAATACGGCTGAGTCAGTAATGCTTCAATGGGTTCTTTCTAGCAAGAGACACAGATGACATCATAATGACATTCATGAATGAATCATATATCCTTGTTATTTTCTAATGTTAAATTCTAATTAAACGAAAATATGATCACTGTGTCACACTCAACAAATTATGGGGTGTTCCACCATCGACCGAACAAGATCACGCTCAAATGACGCTTCGAAGCACGAATGTAGAAGATGAAACCTTTCACGATTACGTTCATGAGAAGGTAATAATGGCCAACCGAATTTTTGTAAGTGGCGATAAAATTCTGGAATACATTATTGACGGTATTCCTGACATGAATCTTCGCGACATGGCACGAGTTCAAGATTTCTTCATGCGAGAATAGATGCTGCAGACTTTTGAAGAAATACAGTTAGAAGATAGGAGACTTCCATTTTCCTCAGCGTCGACGAAAAATAATGACGAAAGTGCGATGAAGAATAAGAGTGATAAAAGTGCTAAGGACGACAATAACGAAAGTAAGACAGGAAGTGTCGAAAAGAAAAGCGGACAAAGCGTTGTTTTAATTGTGGTTCGAAAGATCACGAATTGCCCGTGGCAAAAAAAGAGTAGGAAGTGCTTTGAGTGAGTTGGTGAATATGGATACATTGCGTCGGATTGTCCTAGTAAGCAACAAATAACGGTGAATTGCACGATAACCTATCCGTGGCATAAACAAACTAAAGATGTATTAATCGATGATGTTCCTGTGCAAACGATTATCGCTACGGGAAGTGACATAATAATAATGCGAGCGGACAAGTTTATTAAACTAGGGTCACCGTCTCTTTCGCGCGAACAAATACGATTCCGAAGGATAGGTAAAGAATAGAACACGATGATCGGGAAATTCTGCGCAAAGCTAACGATTGATAGAAATTCGTACACGATCACTATTCATGTTGTTTCGGAACTATCGCGGTATGACCAGCTCATAGGGAAACTTCCTCGATATTGTAGAATTAAATGTTAAGCTAGTCGTTACTATAGTTAAACCGATAGATTCTGATAGTATTCTCGCAGAAATATGTCAAATTTCTATAGATTGTGAATCAAAAATTAATGCAAATTTGTCTTACGCAACGAGAAGATTAAAGAAAAATTGCCAGTGTTGGTAAACGATTATAAGCCGGAGCAAATGCGTGATGTTGACATAACAATGAAGCTTTTGTTGAAAGATGATGAACCAGTTAAGACCGTGGCGATTATCGACAAGAAAGACGAGGTAAATAAATAAATCGATGAATGATTAGCGACCGGAATCGTATAACCTTCGATATCCGGATATACTAGTCCAATTGTGTTGGTAACAAAAAGAGATGGGAGATGGCATATAGTCACAATGATAGATGTTAAAACGAAAATATATCTAAAATTATCATATAAAAACGTAGACGTTTCGGTCAAGATTTGATCATCATCAGTACATCAAGATGATAAATAAAGAAATATAAAACATTAAATAATTAAACAAAAATCACTAGTCAAAAAGATATTAAAACAGTATCAAGATGACAAATAGAAAAAATATATAAAACAATGATACATTAAAACAATGATCGTTAATAAGATGGTAAAAGAATTTTCCAATCGCTTATGATAGTTAATCGAGTAAGATGAAATCCAGAAAATGAAATTAA